AATACATTTAGGTTCTGAAATTGTAAAGGAAAGTTAAGAACATGCTTCCTTACCCCTTATCTGAGGAGAGACAAAGAAGAAAGGTAGGATACCTCAGGACCCTTAGGATTAATAGTGATTAATTAGGGTAAGTGATAGTATTGGTAGAGACCGTTTATGCAAGTATAGTGCAGGTGACCACTGAGAATTAGAGTATTTCTTCAATGCCAAGATAAGCATCCTATAAAATAAATGCTACTTAGTCACTCTGTGAATCCTGTAATAATTCTACATCTCCTCTGTCTTCTACAACATGTTGCATGTCCTTATATGTAACACATTCTCTCAACCTTGAATTATATTGAGCTGTTGCTTTTCCTGCCCCCTTGCCAACTCATTTAATAATGCCAACTCATTTAATAACCAGCATTTATAAACTCTATGTATTTCCAGATTCTTTCAAATTTTTATTGATTTTACCCTTTTTGACATGCTATGAATTGCAAAGACCAGCCTGAAGTGTGTAGGGTGTCTGTGATTATTTTACTTATTTTACAAACAATACACTTGCATTTGGAAGCTACATATTTGGAAGGAGAACCAAATTGTTTTGACTTTACTCATACTTCCTTTCTACTTGTCTATATTTCTGTATTTCTCAGGGTGGTAATATACAGAATTTTAAAAATGTAATAGTCCAATAAATTTTGGATGGACAGGCTAATAATTGAAAATAGTGCTTATTCTAAAAACAATTTTTGTTTCACTTTGTTATTCAGTAGAGTATAGCATGTGATTTGTGAGTGTGGAGATGAACAGACTTTCTACTCGAAGTTTGGTTCAGGCTAAAATTAAGCAGTCTCATAGCAGACTGTAGCTGGTTACAAGGAGTCAGAGGAGTCAATAGGAAAGTGGTCTGAATTACAAATATTTCATAAATAATCCACAACCCAATGGACTCTACCTTATTGTCCCATTTCATTCTTTTGGCCTCTTAGACCTGACAAGATCCCAATTATTTAATAACCAAACACCTCTACCCAAATATTTTCTCACTTCTTATCAACCCTTTCTCTTTTCCAGTTACCTTCTTTCTCTCACTGCATCCACACCTTATTATATATGAATAATCATAATGAGGAAATACAAAAATTAGGATCCACTGACAAAAAACTCCACATTTTTTCTAAAATCAAAGAGAAATGATGATTTGGAGAAAATATGTAATTTTATTCCAAGGATCCTTTCTTTTTATAGTGACAATTAATTATGAGGAGAGGGCCATCAGCCTGTTTAGAATAGTTTCCTACCTTGTGTACTTTACCAGTGCTCCAAAGCTAGTTCACTGCCACAGTAATAGTCTTCAAAAAAAACAGTCTTCACATTGTTGGAAGCATGCTTTGTTCTCCTCTCAAAAGAGACAGAGATTGAAATTGTATGAAAAAAACTGACCTAAGAGTCTAGATTCTTCACTTTATCACTGCTACTTTAGGAACTTCGGGAAAGTCCCTGCACTTTCTAGTCTTAAGTTTCCCTAGCTGGGAAGTAAGGAAGAGGGTCTGGAGCTCATGGTAGCTTCAGATTTCTATGGCTCTAGATTTTTGTCACGTGAATTGTGAGGCTGGGCCATATGTGCTGTGAGCAGTCCTCAATACGCACTAAATTACAATGGTTTAGAAATTTTCCTCCTCCCAGTTTAAAGATATTGTCTGTTTATCACGAAGGCTTGAGGTTCATCAGCTCTAGAGGTTTGGTTCTGGTGAGGAGACCACAGGGATTTCCTCTCTCCTCATCAGAGGGAGCAGAGAACTTTCTTATCCAACTTTGCAATTTGCTCTCATTAGTTACAAAGCTTTGTGTAACATGTGACTTTCTAAACTAGGAATCTCTGGGGATTTTAAACTTGCAGAGTTCATATCCTATACATTAACAAGGCTTCCTGTTACTACTTAAGTTTTGTTTTGACATGAAGGGGGTGAATGGGAAGCTGCATTTCTAGTACTCATTCAATTCGCTCTCCTGTTCACCAGCAACATGCTTACCCTTTCCCTTGAATCACTGATTTCCTTCCTGGGAATTTAAAAACGGCCAGAACATATTGTGGGGTTTGGAACCAATGTCACAAAACACTTTGTGTATGAATTGTTGAATGAGAAACTAATTTGCTTTGTAAAGTTTCACCTAAAGCACAATAAAAAAAGAAAAGAAAGAAAGAAAAAAGGCCTACAGTGTGTTTAAGATTGCACTAAACACATGGGAAAACTCAGAAAAGTGTAAGAAATGACATCTTCTTACAAAGGGTGTATACCTTGGTGGAGGAAAGAAGATGGCACCCATGAAATGTGAATTATACTTCAGTGTCTTGAGAACTAAAACAATGACCAATAGGTAAAGATAGTAAAGACTCATGCTCCCACAGTAGTGTTGCCAGCAGAGGCAGGTTTGGAAAACTCATCCCTTGCCTCATACTTACCAGCAGTAGTGACCTGCCTGCAACAGTGTCACCAGCAGAACTTGAGGTGGGGGCACCCAGCCTCCACCTCACAAGGGCTGGCAGTAGCAGGGTGGTCATTCCAGCAGAGTCAGTGGGCTAACCTTGCTCCAGTATTGGTAGGCAGTGGAACAATCTTCCCCTTAGAGGCAGCACCACTGGAGCCAGGGAGGGCCACCAGAACCTACACACTAAACCTAAACAAGGCAATTGGCTGCTAAAATAGAAGATTCAAATAAGATTGAGAGTCTCCTATCATAATATTCAGAATGTCCAGGATACAACTGAAAGTCACCTGCTACACCAAGAATCAGCAAAATCTCAACTTAATGAGAAAAGGCAATCAAGTAATACTGAGTGAACCAGATATTAGAACTGTTTGGCAAATATTTTAAAGCGGCCATCATCAAGTTCATTCAAAAAGCAATTAGGAATACCCTTGAATGATACAAAAATGGAAAACATGAAAAAAATGAAACATAAGTTACAAAAAATAACCAAAGGAAACGATAGAAGTGAAAAATATAATAGTAAAGAAAATTATAGCGGAGAAGACTCAATAGTAGAGTGGGAATGACAGAAGCTAGGAATGAACTGGAATACAAATTAACAGAATTTACTCAGTCTGAACAACAGTGAGAAAATAGACTGGAAAAAAAAAAAATGAACAGAGTCCAAGGGACCTGTTCTCACATGTTCTTACAGAATTAACGTTTGTATCTCTGGCATCCCAGAAGGAGAGGAGGAAGAACATTGGACTAAAAAAAGTATTTGGAGAGAGAATTATTTGAAGAAAATATCCTGAATTTGGCAAAAGATGTAAACCTACAGATTCAAGAAGTTGAGAAAACCCAAAATAGGATAAAACTGAAATAAATTCATGCCAAGATGCATTGTAATTAAAATTTTGTAAACTAATGACAAGGGAAAAATATTAAAAGTAACCAGAGAGAAATGATGCATACCAGTTTCAATGACAGTGGATTTCTCATCTGAAACCATGGGAAAGTGGCACAATGTGGTTCAACTCCTGACAGAAAGAAAGAAAGAAAAAAAAAAAAGGTGTTAACTCAACATTCTATATCCAGCAATATTATTCCTCAAGAATTCAGGAGAAAAAAAGACATTTTCAGAAGAAGGAAAACTAAAACAATTTTTCATTTGTAGACCTAATCTTAAAGAATGGCTAAAGAAAACTCTCCAAAAGAAACGATGCGATAATGAAAGCTTTGGAACTTCATAAAGGAAAGAAGAACAATCAATCAGTAAACAGAGGAGTAAATATAATAAACTATTCTCATGAATTTCTTAAATCATTTTTGATTGTTGAATTAAAAAAAATAACAGTATTTATCATGGCACTCAATGTACGTAGAGGAAATACTTGAGACCATGACATGTGTATATTTTCCCC